TGAGGTTAATTAGCTTGCCCAAGGTCGGATGAAACAGGGAAAGGGCGTAGAATTCAAACCCTTTGCAGCAGCCACTCAGCTAACTCTGGCCACACTAACAGTGTCACCCACACTGGGCTTAAGAGAGATCTTTCTCTTCTCTACTGTTCTGCTGAGAAGCAGTCTCTAACATGGGCTCTGAGCTCGTGACCAGGAGACATATTGCCTGGGTTTCAATCCTGACTCTGTTCCTGACTAGCTTGATCTCTAACAAATTACTTAACCTTTACAGGCCTCAGCTCCTGAATACGTAAAATGGTACTAATGGTGCTATCTCTGAAACTAGGGTGAGGATTAAAGGAGACAATGTATGTAAAATGCCATTTTCATTCATTTTCTCGATGAGCATGCAGCACTCTCACTGGGGGAAAAAAAGTTACTTGAGAAAAGGGTTGCACCCACTCTGGGTTTGGTTTTTACAAGGCTACAGAGGACATACAACTAACAGGCATTTTGGATTCTGCCAATGAAATGTCCCATGAGCCTGAAGGTGACTTGCAACACCAAGTTTAGATTCCCACTGACTTGTATGGGCCTCACAAGGTTAGCAGAGCAAGTGGCATCGCGAACACCAACTGGCAGGGGGCATGCCTGAATGAGAAGCCGGCCAACAGCACCCAGTTTAAGGAGTCTAACTCTGGATTCCTGACCAGCTGAAGCCCTGGGTTCTAAATACCATTTCTCTGATGTTCTGCTGAGCTTCTCAAACTGCACTCAGCTCAGACCAAAGACAGCCAATGCTTTCTAGGTACCACCGTGTTCCTGACCAAACAGGAGATATTCATGGGTGGCTGGGCCCACTATAGGGGGCCAAGTGATACTCAGCAGGGGGCTGGAAGAGAGGTGGTGGTGGGCTGGGGTGAGGAGAGCTATCCAATCTCAGAATACCTCCAACAAAAACACTGTGACATATATGTGTATGGCCATCCCTGATGCACACAAAAATCAGCAGCAAAACTCCATTTGCTTTAACTCCAATACAGAGTGGCGCAGAGAACCCAAGACACGCCACTCTTGTATAAGGCAAGATGCTAACAGCTGGCAATGCTTGTTCATTCAACTCGAGAAACTGATTACTCTCATTCTCATGGGGAGAAGAAGGCTCACAGGAATCTGCAGGACACACAGACACACATACCTGGGCCTTTGTTAACCTAGCTGATGGCTCCTGCATCTCCTGGGCACCCTAGGTCAGAGAAATGAGGAACCTGATAGGAATAAAGTCAACACTACTAGCCTGCTGGCCTCCAAAAGCCTTCCCAGAACAAGGAGAACCCACTCACTGCTCTTCCTCGAACCCTGCTCTTTCTCCTGGCATGGACCCTCAAGGAAAAGTTCTCATGCAGTGACTTCCTATTGTTCAGAATTGAGGGGTAAAATTCGAACTCCTCACCATAGCCACAGATCTGGCCCCTGTCATCTCTTTGCTCACCATGCTCCAGCACCACTGGGCTTATGGCTCCCCGCTGTCCCCTCTACTCATCAGCCAGGTCCCCATTCAAAGTCATCTCCTGAGAGCTAACTAGAGTTCTGATCCTGACCCTATCCCAGTCATCTCCATCTTAGTACCCTGTTTCATTTCTCCTTGTATCTCTTTTCACCTTCCTGCATTTTGTTTACCTATTTACTGCTTGTCTCTCCCAACAAAATATAATCTCATTAGACCATGCAACCTGGTGATCTTGTTCTTGGTTCTTTATAGTAGGTGTTCAATAAGTCATTCAACTTAACAAATATTTACTGAGTGCCTACTGGACTACAACAGTAGACAAAAAAAAAAGGGGGCAACATCTCTGTCCTCAAAAAGCTTAAATTCTGGTGGCAGATAAGAAACAAATAAGAATAGAATAATAACTACTACTTCAACCAAGTGCTGGGTGCTGTTCTAAGCATCTGATAGGTATTACAAATTCAATCTTCCCAAACACATCCCTGAAGGAAGTATTAGTATTTTACAGATGGGGAAGCTACGGCACAGGGAGGTTAAGTTACTTGCTGAAGGTCAAGAAGCTCATAATGGCAGAAACCAAGATCCAAACCCAGATAGTCTTGGTACAAAGTCCATGCTCTGACTAAGAGTTACACTTCATCTTTGCTGAGTGTCAAATAACTACTGGGTCAGCGCCCCCCACAGCTGTTCTCTGGAGGCAGAGCTGGAGAGAGAAGAGATCCATCAGGGGAGGGCTGCCCTGCTCTGTGAACTCAGTGAGGTAGAGACTGCTGGCTTTACCACTGTACCCTGGATGAAGAGGGATCTGCAGGGAAGTGTGGTCTGATGATGGGACAGGGCCAGGGCCAGGATTCCTGGCTTCTAGTTTTAGGTGCTGAGACACTCAGAAAAGTCAACTGATAATTGATGAGTTTTTTGTGTTTGTTTTTGTTTTTATGTGCAGGACACTGACCTTAACGTTGTAATGGATGCAAAATGAATCTAGAGATCCTAGCCTCAGAAAGCTTTGAGTCATACTGGTACACTGGAGCTGAAACAGAGGTCAAAATTGACAGGTGCCATTAAAAAATGTATAAAGTGCTATGGGATTTCAAGAGTTACCTAGCCTCTAGGGGCCATAGGTGCCTATCCATAAAAGAGGGGGCTGGCCTACACAACCCCCTGGCTCTGACATGTTCTGACAGCACAGATTTGGAGCAGCACAGAAATCAAGTTTCAGGGCAATAATAATGCTCTCGTTTAAGTAATGCAACTGGATATGGGAATGAAACCCAGTGTGTTCTGTGCTCCTCCATCTAACTGGTTTTTAAACCCACAAACTCTCGTCCATCAAGGAGAAGGTGACCTTTCTGTGAGCACATTGTTATAATATAGAAACCACTCCCTAGGGACGCCTGGGTGGCTCAGTGGTTGAGCATCTGCCTTTGGCTCAGGGCATGATCCTGGGATCTGGGATCGAGTCCCACATCGGCCTCCTCCTGGGGAGCTTGCTTCTCTGTCTGCCTGTGTCTCTGCCTCTCTCGAATGAATAAATAAAATCTTAAAAAAAAAAAAAAAGGAACCACTCCCTATTCACCTTGTTTTTTTCTGTATCCCTGAAGTCTACCACAGTATCTAGCTCACAATAGGTGCTGAGTAAGGCTAGCTGAGCTAAACCTGATCTAGAAATTGTCTGTAAATCTGAGTCGGTGTTCCCTGTAGTTTAACTTTACAGCTCTCAGCCTCTCCCAGGGGGAGGAGACTGGTTCCACCTCTTCACTTTTACCGCTACCACCCTGGTCCCCCAAGCCACTACCAACTCTTGCCCAGAAGCTACAGTGATCTATCTTCTAACTGGCATCCTTGCTTCTACCTTTGCGCCTTACAATCCAGTCTCTATACAGCACCCAGAACGATCTTTGAAAACTTAGATCTTATCTATCACCTCTCCACTTAAAATCCTCTAACAACTTCTAACTGCACTTGGAATAAAATCCAAACCGGTTCTGCAGAGCACTTAACACTCCTGATATGATTTTGTTTGCTTATTTGTTTACTCTCTCCTCTTTCAAATGTCAGCTTCAGGAGGGCAGGGGGCTGTGTCTGTCTTCACCATGGGAGTCCCAGTGTTTGGCATGGCACCTGTCACATAGTAAGCACTTACACCACTGAATGGATGAGTCTCCACTTTATAAGGCAACTTGTATTTACCAGGCCCACTAACTCCACCAGAAAACCGTGAATGACACACCGACATTTAAAAGCCAGCATCGATGGGATGAGCATTGGGTGTTATACTGTATGTTGGCAAATTGAACTTCAATAAAAACAAATGAAAACAAAAAAAGCCAGCACCTTTTTTACGATTCAAAGTCCTGCTTTAAATCAAAGGAAACTAGTATCTCTGGACACTTTAATGGCCCAAAAGATGAGTATCATTTAAGGTCTAAGACCAGGAACAAGAGCCCAGGAGTTGCAGCAAGGAGCTAAGATCTAAGGTACTTGGGAACAAAACCTCAGGACAAACTGACTGACACACCCCATGCCTCAATTTACCCAGCAGTCAGCCAGGCACACTTCCCTAAGTTCTCTGAGTGACAGGAGACAAAATAATTAACAGCTATAGCGTACTTAGATTCTCAGATAGGAGGTGCTGCAAGCCACACATCTCATTATTCATAAAACTCTTGATTTGCTGCCAATGTAAGCCTCCTCAGCCTTCCCAGGGGCTAACCTGACAGCAAGTACTGCTCAGACAAGTTCAGCACACAAGATAGAGGGAGGCATGTGGGGCCTAACAGAAGTCGGGTGTCCAGACCTAGCTATGTGCCTGGTTACCAAGTTCAAAACTAAGAAAGGTGGTTGGGTGGGGGGCGATGAAATGGAGGTGACAAGTGCAGTGTGGGGCTCCCAGTGGTTCATTTTGCAGGCTCACATACACACACCCATCATACAGGTGAAACATGTGCCTGCACTATGCACCTTCCACGAATACTCATCAGGAGAGGCGGAATGGGGAAGCGACAGTTCAGTCACACAAGAGGGAGGAAGGGCGGCCCAGTGGCCAAACCTTGGCAGCATTTAGTTTGGGGGAAATATGGAGGGGCTCTCAACAGAGGGTCGGGATGCTGAGCGCGGGGAGCAGGTGAGGGGAGAGTCAGGAGGGCACGGCACCCGGAGTGCGACGGACGGACGGTGACAACCAGGCCGACGCGGTGCGGTGGACAACAGAGTGGGTGGCTCGGACACCTGTGGAGGCGACCCCTGGGCGAAGGTGAGGACGGCCGGAGGGTGGTCTGCGGCGGGGTCTGGGCCGCGAGCGGCAGGAGGCGGGCGGCGGCGGCGACCAGGCGGGGCTGGGAGGCCCGGCCCAGACCAGGGCGCCGCGCCTGGGGCCAGCCGGCGGGTCCGAGAGGGGTCGGGGGCGCCCTCCGCGGCCCCTCCCCGGGAGACAAAGGGCCGGTGGCTCCCCCGAGCTCCAGCGCTGCGCGGGCCCGGGCGCTGTGGGCGCGGGGCCGGCCTCGGCGCTTACCTGGGCCGCCCGAGCCGGCCGGGCCGGCGGGGGCTGCGGGTCCGTGCGCGGCGCGCGGCGGCCTGTTCCGGGGCGCGCTCAGCCCGAGCAACTGCGGCGGCGGCGGTGGCAGCAGGAGCAGGAGCAGGAGCAGGAGCAGCAGCAACAGCAGCAGCAGCAGCAGCAGCAGCAGCAGTAGCGGGAGCGGCCGCCTGAGCCTCCGCCTCCCGCTCCGTGAGTCACCGCGGCGGGGAGGGAGGGAGGCGCCAGGCCGCCGGGGGAGGGACCGGCGGAGGGGGCGGCATCTGGCTCCGCGCGGGCGGCGGAGGCGCGGCCACCGCAAGGCCCTGGGGGAAGGGGCGGGGCGAGGGCGGGGCGCCGAGGGCGGGGTCTGCGTGGGCAGGGCCTTGTGGGCGGGGCCCGGGCTGCGCGGGCACGCCCATTGGTTAAATACGTCTGTGGGGCGGGCCTCCTGCGTACAGGGCGGGTGCTGGGCGGAGCGTGGGGACACTGGGTTCCTCGGGAGAAGGGTGGGGCCAGGGGTTCCGGGGCGGGGCCACGAGATGGGCGGGTGGAAGGCGGTCCTGGGTAGCGGCGGAGCGGCTCTCGGAGCGAAGGGGTGGAGCGAACGGGGGCGGGGAGGGCGGGCCGGGGGAGCGGGGCGGGGGCTCGGAGGACGAGGTGGCCTGGAGGGCGGGGCCCGGGTTGAGGTTGAAGCTGGCTCTGCGGTAACGCGCCTCCGCCTGTCCCTAGCTGCTCCAGGAGCACAGAGATCCCGTAAAAATAATGGTCTCTCCCGCATACGAGTCTGTGTCTAAAAATGGGAGCGGTCAGACGGGGCGTAATGCTCGGTGAGGCTGGGTTCCCCAGGACCCCTGAAAAATCTGAAATGGGCGAGGTTGCAAAACATTTAGGGGCGTGGTCTTCCTGCCGGGTGGAACTGGGAACATTGCTACCTTTGAAGCAGCTAGGCCCACTCTTGAATTGGAGGCCTGTCCGGCCTGGGGTCCACGGAGCCCAGGGAGCCCAGGGGTGGGCCTCCGTGGGAACCTTAAACTTCAAGTACCAAGTGTCTTGGTGACGGACCTCTTCTGAAGAGAAAGGATCCATGATTAAAATGTTTCTATATCTGCTAGACCGCTCTGGCTGGAGACAGTGGAGGGAGAAACACCCCTTTGGGGGCAAAATATGAATTGCTTTGAACACCCACTTTCCATTTTAAAGGGAGGCGTATCTTTAAGAGTGGTCTCATTAAGGGCGCCCGGGAGCCTCCACCAGTTGAGGGTCTGCCTTGGGCTCTGGTCATGATCCCAGAGTCCTGGAATTCAGCCCTGCATGGGCTTCCTGCTCAGCAAAGAGCCTGCTTCTCCCTCTCCCTCTGCCGCTCCCCCTGCCTTGGTCCCTCATTTCTCTCTACCAAATAATTTTTGAATCTTTTTTTTTTTAAGATTTTATTTATTTATTCATGAGAGACACGCAGAGAGAGAAGCAGGCTCCATGCAGGGAGCCCAACGTGGGACTCAATCTGGGGTCTCCAGGATCATACCCTGGGATGAAGGTGGCGCTAACCCCTGAGCCACCCGGGTTGCCCTTTTTTTTTAATCTTAAAAAATATATAGTGGTCTCATTTTCAACATTTTTTTCTTTCCCATCCTTATGCAAGAAGGATATGGGATAATTATTTTTACTTTATTGTGTTTATATTCTGTAATGCCCATATGACTCTTTTCAGTTAATAACTATTTTAGTTACAATTGAGGAATATTTTAATTTTATCAAATGAGATAGACTTTAATTAAAATTAAAATCATGAGGGCAGCCCCCGTGGCGCAGTGGTTTAGCGCCGCCTGCAGCCCAGGGCGTGATCCTGGAGACACTGGATGGAGTCCCATGTCAGGCTCTCTGTATGATGCCTGCTTCTCCCTCTGCCTGTGTCTCTCTGCCTCTCTCTCTGTCTCTATGAATAAATAAATAAAATCTTTTAAAAAAATTCAAATCATGAGATTATGAACTCAAAGGCCAGAAATAGGTCTTAGTCATATCTGTATTCCCTACTACTATCCAGGCTTCTATGCCCATGGCAAGGGCTGAATATTTGCCAGTACAGTGTACCAGCTGATCCTTCACGTTTCCCAGTAAAGCCAATGCAAAAAATGTGCATATCCAAATTATTTTATGTAAATATTGATATTTAAACAAATGAATTAAAACTGAAAAAATTGCTTGGTATTCAAGACACAATGTATAAATGCATACTATTTTTAAGGATTTTGTTTATTTGAGAGAGAGAGAGAGCACGGGAGCATAAGCAGGTGGAGCAGCAGGAAGAGGGAGAAGGAGAAGCAGGCTCCCCTTGGAGCAGGGAGCCCCTGATGTGAGGCTCGATTCCAAGATCTTGAGATCATGACCTGAGCCTAAGGCAGCCGCTTAACCCACTGAACCACTCAGGTGCCGCAAATGCATACATGGAGCCCAATGCAGGACTCGATCCTGGGTCTCCAGGATCAGGCCCTGGGCCAAAGGCGGCGCTAAACCGCTGAGCCACCCGGGCTGCCCGCATACATTTTTTAAAAAGATATATGCTTAAGGGTTAAGGTAGGAACGGAATGCATAAAATGGAAACATGTCTGTTTGAAATAATGGATGTTTTTCCTTTTTTCAAATGTTTCACAAATCTGTTGTTTTTATTGTCCAAAGTTACACTACGTTCATCATCACGGTCAGTCCCTCAACTACCCTATCAATTCAGAGTTGGAAAATTCTTCCTTTAGACAACAGTATTAGTTCAGGATTGACTTGGGCTTCCACCCATCTGTAAGATGGTAGAATGAAACACTGAAGGTTTAGAACGTAGGAAACATCTGTTAGTTTTTTTTTTAATTTTTATTTATTTATGATAGTCACACACAGAGAGAGAGAGGGGCAGAGACATAGGCAGAGGGAGAAGCAGGCTCCATGCACCAGGAGCCCAACGTGGGATTCGATCTGGGGTCTCCAGGATCGCGCCCTGGGCCAAAGGCAGGGGCTAAACCGCTGCGCCACCCAGGGTTCCCACATCTGTTAGTTCTGACAGCCAGGCACTATCTCTTCCACTTGGGAAATTGCTCCTGCCTACTATCCACCCCCAGCTCCTCCACCCCTCAGCCCCCCCATTCCTGATGAGGTTATCAAGGACAGTATTCTGTCCTCTTCTCTCCACAAAAAAACAAACAGGGGAGACATGGGACCCAAGCTGGACCAGTACATTCTCTTGACTGCTAGCTAAGAAGCAGGATGTGTCCTACATTGAGCCAACTGGAGTCCTTCCCTAAAACTTTCTGAATTGGATATGAAGGGAAGCTCTCTTTCCTATTGGATCTAGAGTTAGAAGGATATGACCTCAAAAATATTCATCTTCCACACACTACATGGAAAACTCTGAAAGAATAAGGCAATGTTACAAGACAGAAAGGAACCAATATTGGGAAGCCTGGGTGGCTCAGTGGGAGAGCGTCTGCCTTCGGCTCATGTCCTGATCCCAGGGTCCTGGGATCGAGTCCTGCATCAGATTCCCTGTTCCGTGGGGATCCTGCTTCTCCCTCTGCCACCCTCTCCCTCTCTCTGTCTCTCATGAATAAATAAATAAAATCTTAAAAAAAGAAAAAGAAAGGGACCAATATTTGGAAGGAGGGAAGGGAACCGGTAGAGAAGAAGAGAGACCTCTAACAGCATTCCACACTTTCAGTAGACTTTGCACCAGCTCTGCTCACACCATCTCACACCCAGTAGGTCCCCAGATCGGCCTCTCCCCCAGTGCTTCCCACCTTGAGTAACTGCCACCACACCCCACCTGGTTGCTTGCACCAGAAGCTTAAGTGTGTCCTTGACTCACTGGGTCTCCTTTATCCCTCATAACCAGTTCCTGTCATTTCCACCGCCAAACCCTATGTTGAATCTCCCTGCTTCCCACCACCTCTACTTCTCTTAACCCATCATCAACTCTCATCCTGACTCCAACAATAACTCCCAAGAGCTCTCTCCTTCAGCCTTTCCCTACCACCCCAACTCCATTGTCCCTAGAAGTTACCAATCATGGGATCCCTGGGCGGCTCAGCGGTTTAGTGTCTGCCTTTGGCTCAGGGCATGATCCTGGAGTCCTGAGATTGAGTCCTTCATCAGGCTCCCTTGCATGGAGCCTGCTTCTCCCTCTGCCTGTATCTCTGGCTCTCTCTCTCTCTCTCATGAATAAGTAAATAAAATAAAAAATAAAAGTTACCAATTGCATCAGTCCTCTGCTATTCAATGATTTCTCTTCATTTTCTTTTTTAAGATTTATTTACTTATTTATTCATGATAGACATAGAGAGAGAGAGAGAGGCAGAGACACAGGAGGAAGGAGAAGCAGGCTTCATGCCAGGAGCCCGATGTGGGACTGGATCCCGGGACTCCAGGATCGCGCCCGGGCCAAAGGCAGCAGCTAAACCGCTGAGCCACCCAGGGATCCCTGATTTCTCTTCATTTTCATGATGAAGTTCCAATTCTGTAGCATGGCTACAAAGCCTTGTGTCATCTGAGGCCAGCCTGGTCTTGAACCCCTTCGGCTGACTGGGCTCCAGCCACATATAGGCTCCTGCCTGTTCCTTGACCACAGGGTACTACTTCGTGCTTCACAACTTCTGAGTGTGCCTTTCCCTTTGCCTGAGTGGTTCTTCTCCACTTCTCCCTCCTTCACCTGACTGAATATTTGGTCTTTTTTTTTTTTTTAAAGATTTTATTTTTTTATTCATAGACACAGAGAGAGAGGGACAGAGACACAGACAGAGGGAGAAGCAGGCTCCACTCAGGGAGCCTGATGTGGGACTCGATCCCAAGTCTCCAGGATCACACCCCAGGCTGCAGGCGGTGCCAAACCACTGAGCGACCGGGGCTGCCCTTTTTTTTTTTTTTACGATTTTATTTATGGGCAGCCCGGGTGGCTCAGTGGTTTAGTGCCACCTTCAGCCCAGGTTGTGATCCTGGGGACCTGGGATCAAGTTCTGCGTCAGGCTCCCTGCGTGGAGCCTGCTTCTCCCTCTGCCTGTGTCTCTGCCTCTCTCTCTCTGTGTCTCTCATGAATAAATAAATAAAATCTTTTAAAAAAATTAAATAAATAAAAAGATTTTATTTATTTATTTGAGCATGAGCATGAGCATGAGCAGGTGGGAGGAGGCAGAGGGAGAGGGAGAAGCAGATTCCCCGCTCAGCAGGAA